TGGATCTCTCCCCTTTTGTACTGCAGCCTCCTGATGTACAAGCCAATATTCCAATAGTTATTGGAGCTTTTTGTGCCAGTCTATTAGTTATTAATGATTTATGTAGAGTCATAGTGTCATACAGCACAGAAACAGACCTTTCAGTCCAACCGTCCTGCCAAACATAATCCCAAACTAAACTAGTCCCACCTGCATACTCCTGGTCCATACCCCTGTGTACTTATCCAAATCTCTTTTAAACATTGTAACTCTGCCCGCATTCACCACTTCCTCAGCAAGTGCTTTCCACACGTGAACCACTTTGCTTTTTTTCAAAAAAAAATTGCCCCTTTTTTTAAAATCTGTCTCCTTTCGCCTTTATAAAAAGAAAAGCCCCCCAGTCTTGAAATCCCCTGTTCTAGGGAAAACACAACCACCATTAACCTTACCTGTGCACCTCTATGATTTTGTAAACCTCTATGTGGTCACCTCTCAAACCCCTACGCTCCAGTGGCAGGGGGGGAAAGAAGTCCCAGCTTATGCAGCCTTTCTTTATAACTCAAACCTTCCATACCCAGCAACATCTTGGTAAGTTTCAGAAGAAACCTCTAGCTTAATAACATCCTTCCTACAACAGGGTGACCAGAGCGGGACACAGTATTCCAGAAGAGGCCTCACCAATGTCCTGTGTACTTGGATTTCTAAATCTCTCAGCTCTTCTACAGTTTCTAATTTCTCATAATTTTTAAAACTTAGTGTCTTTTAACATTTTGTTTTTTTTTAACACTTCATCTTCCTTGGCCAAAGTGGATGGCCTCATTGCATTGTGTTACATTTGTGATTTTTTTTTCTTCTTGTCCAATCGCTGAATCTGTTTACATTCTTTACAATTTACTGTTTTCATTTGCACTACGCTCTGTCCCTCTTAACTGTGTCATCTGCAAAACTGAAGGTGTGACTCATTGTTCCCATATATAAATTGATAAATATAGCAAAAAATTGACAACAAAGCAGATCTAATAGGGAGCATCACTTTTGCCATGTCAGTCAGAACGCCTGCTTCTTACACTTCTTTCCCCTATTGCCAAATAATTTAAAATGCAAGTAAAAAAGCTACATGCGGTTCCATGTGTCTTCAGGCAGAGCACACATGGAATGGAATGGACTTGAATATCACCACCTTCCACTGTGCTGACCCTTGATCTGAAAGCAGTATATTAAGGAAAATTTCATGTGTTTAAAGTGTGTGTGGAATCTGTAAGTGATTTTAACTAATAGGAATATAATTCAAAACTTTCTTACAAACCAGTGGTGATTTTTCATAGTTTATCATGCAAACTTGCAGAAGAGCCAAAGTCTTCAAGATTTGCAAATAATCTGAGATGCCATGTTGAATGATTTCTGGAGATGTATGTAAATAGTGTTTAATGATTCTCCTTATCAAGCTTGTCAGTGATGTCCTCAATTTTAAATGTTAGTCGAACATTAATTCACCTGAAATTTTCCACCCAAGTACACAGTCTAACTCAAATTACTCTGGAAAGGTGGGGTATCTAAAATATTTGAATAAGACCAGCTGTTTCATGCTGCCACCACACAGTGGCTGCATGAATGATAGTTTTCACCAGGAAAATACAGGTGTCAGCCCATGAAGATATTTTGCCCAGTATGCAATTGAACAAGATCATGCATGATTATCACTGCTGGTATGATGGCAAAGTACATCAGTCTTAGAACCTATGAATATCTGAAGGTTCAGCATGTTCCTTTTGCTGTTTCCTTGAAATATCAGATACCTG